GGAGGAGGAGAATGGATCTGCTTGGCCTGGGGTATTATATCCTGGGGGACATTGGGAAATTTGTGGGCAAGGACCTTCTTGAGTCCATTGGTTATGAAAGGTGCCTGTATTGTCGAGGATGGTGGAAGAGGGGGAAGGCCATTAGCCTGAAGAGGGGGTGGAGGAGGTGGTAAAGGCTGTGACTGCATTGGCATTATGGGAGGAGGAGGTGGTAAAGGCTGTGACTGCATTGGCATTATGGGAGGAGGAGGTGGTAAAGGCTGTGACTGCATTGGCATTATGGGAGGAGGAGGTGGTAAAGGCTGTGACTGCATTGGCATTATGGGAGGAGGAGGTGGTAAAGGCTGTGACTGCATTGGCATTATGGGAGGTGGAGGAGGCAGTAAAGGCTGTGACTGCACGGGCATTATGGGTGGAGGAGGTGGTAAAGGCTGTGACTGCATTGGCATTATGGGAGGAGGAGGTGGTAAAGGCTGTGACTGCATTGGCATTATGGGAGGAGGAGGTGGTAAAGGCTGTGACTGCATTGGCATTATGGGAGGTGGAGGTGGTACAGGCTGTGACTGCATGGGCATTATGGTAGGTGGAGGTGGTAGAGGCTGTGACTGCAAGGGCATTATGGGAGGAGGAGGTGGTAAAGGCTGTGACTGCATTGGCATTATGGGAGGAGGAGGTGGTAAAGGCTGTGACTGCATTGGCCTTATGGGAGGAGGAGGTGGTAAAGGCTGTGACTGCATTGGGCGTATGGGAGGTGGAGGCGCTAGAGGCTGTGACTGCATGGGCATTATGGGAGGACGTGGTGGAGGTGAGGGGGGAGGAGGAGGAGGGGAGGACTGTAAAACTGTTGCTGGGGCTGGAGGACCAAGCTTCAGAACAGCCATGGCTGATCCAGGTGGAGGCATTGAGGCAGGTGGAGGTGGAGGAGGAGGGGGTGGTGGAGGTGAGGGGGAAGGAGGAGGGGAGGACTGAAGAACTGTTGCTGGGGCTGGAGGACCAAGTTTCAAAACAGCCATGGCTGATCCAGGTGGAGGCATTGTGGCAGGTGGAGGTGGAGGAGGAGGGGGTGGGATGGTAGCCCCTGGTGGAATATTGTTTGATTGTGATTTGGAGGCCAGTGGGACAGGTGGCACTTGCTGCTGGACTTGAGGCTGAGGCTTGTGGTGAATTGTGGCCTGAGTGGCATTCTGCAGCCGAGTGATAGTGCTGTATTTGGCGAACATTGTAGGTGTGGCATGGTGGGGGATATTGGAAATAGGAGGAGGAGGGGGTGGAGGAGGTGGTGGTGGGGCTGGAGTTGCCTGGGGTGGTACTTGTGCCTGTATCTGTGCCTGTGTCAGTGACTGGGTGACACTTCCATGTGACTGTGGAATTGAATATGGATGTGGCTGTTGCTGTGGGTGTGAATGCTGCTGTTGAGGCACATGATGAGAAGAATGGCTGCTATGGCTTGAATGGGTAGAACGCACTGATTCTGGCCTTGCCTAAACAAATATAAAAAACAACAATAAATAAGAATATGTTATTTCTTAATTTAATATCCTTTAGGCCTTTAGTGTGGTTCATCTTAAGGTCGTTTCACACTGAGCGCGATGTGAAAAAGTGAGGAGAATCGCTAACGAACATGCTTTCACACAGAGCACGAAATGATTGATCTTCTGCTAATTCACGCCTGCACTCTAGGTGGCGCCGACCAGCAATGCATTTTTCCTTAGATACGTATCTCATATATGGTCTGGCTGATCCAGGTGGAGGCATTGAGGCAGGTGGAGGTGGAGGAGGAGGGGGTGGGATGTTAGCCCCTGGTGGAATATTGTTCGATTGTGGCTTGGAGGCCGGTGGGACTGGTGGCACTTGCTGCTGGACTTGAGGCTGAGGCTTGTGGTGACTTGTGGCCTGAGAGGCATTCTGCAGCCGAGTGATAGTGCTGTATTTGGCGAACATGGTAGGTGTGGCATGGTGGGGGATATTGGAAATAGGAGTGAGAAGAATGGCTGCTATGGCTTGAATGGGGAGAAAGCATTGATTCTGGCCTTGCCTAAAAAAATATAAAAAACAACAATAAATAAGAATATGTTATTTCTTAATTTAATATCCTTTAGGCCTTTAGTGTGGTTCATCTTAAGGTCGTTTCACACTGAGCGCGATGTGAAAAAGTGAGGAGAATCGCTAACGAACATGCTTTCACACAGAGCACGAAATGATTGATCTTCTGCTAATTCACGCCTGCACTCTAGGTGGCGCCGACCAGCAATGCATTTTTCCTTAGATACGTATCTCATATATGGTCCGCTGCTCAATATACAGCATTAAATTAAGATAAATAAAGTTTGGTTCTACACCAGAAACAAACTACCTATAATGCTTATAAGAATACATCTTAAAATATAAATAGAGGTACAATTAGCATCAAGCTACATTTGAAAATGTATGTGATTATTTATGTTTTTTGTTTAAAACCCACTTTAAGCCATCGAGTGCTTGTAATAACTTCTGATTGAGCTCTAAAGTGGATTTTCATATTATAATAGCCAGGCATGCACTCTTTGTTATGTTTTGAACATGACACTTGCTTATCATTTGTCATACACATTATTTATTGTTATAAAAATAGCATGAGCTGCATAAAACACATACAGAAAATATATTGTCAATCTTATGTCTGTTTGCTTTCATATTTCATGTATAGAAAAATTTTTCTCTCATTTTTTTTCATACACTGAACAAAATTATAAACGCAATACTTTTGTTTTTGCCCCATTTTAGAGTGGCCTTTTATTGTGGCCAGCCTAAGGCACACCTGTGCAATAATCATGCTGTCTAATCAGCATCTTGATATGCCACACCTGTGAGGTGGATGGATTATCTCGGCAAAGGAGAAGTGCTCACTAACACAGATTTAGACAGATTTGTGAACAATATTTGAGAGAAATAGGCCTTTTGTGTACATAGAAAAAGTCTTAGATATTTGAGTTCAGCTCATGAAAAATGGGGGCAAAAACAAAAGTGTTGCGTTTATAATTTTGTTCAGTGTATGTAATGGCAGGAGATATTATCCCATGATTGACAGATCTTGAGTGAACACGCTCTGACTCATAACACTCTCGCACATGGAAGAAAACAGACAGTGCTCTTCAGATCACATTCAGTGGAGAATTAATAGAAATTATATTCTGTATAAAGAACATGTGAGGATAAATCTGTTCTTAGAAACCAATGATAACAAGAACTCAGCATCCTCTTCTCTCTCAGAATACTTCGGTGTTTGTTTACATTGGTTTTCGAAACAGTGCCACCACTCTCACCCTTTTGGGCAACAGCAGCTGCTCCGGGCACATGATCTTAGCTCAAATCTAATTGGACGGCCCGTTTCGTCACGGAGCGACGAGGGAAAAAAATCGACACACAGAAAAAAAAATCTTCGTTATTTTGCGCCGCGAATGATCGCACCTGGTGTGAATAGTTCCATAGGATTTATTGTTTAGTTTTAAAAGCGTCATCACGCCGAACATTCCCGCCAAATTTTCGAGTTCAGTGTGAAAAGGCCTTTACTCTGTGGTGTTTTATCAAGTGCCCATATAAAGAGATATATCTTTCCAGAGCAAGAAAGCCTCACCTTTGTGCTCTCTTCTATTTGCGTCCCTCTCTTCCAGGCCTCAGAGAAGATTGAACTGACTACACTCTGGGAACGGGCATGGGAGCACGAAGTACCATCTGACATACCACTGTCTGCTTGGCTAGAGTGGTTTGACTGTGATTCTTTAAGCACAAACAAATAAGCACAAACATCAGCTAACAATCCATACATATACAGTCACAAGTCAGAAAAATTATTATGCCATGAAAGGAAAATGCTCCATAACTACCAATGCCTATGATATTTGAAGGGTTCAAGTGATCAGGTTCAAGTTACTCACCAGGTATACTGACTGAGCTTGTTCCCGACCTGATGCTGGTACTGGAGAGAGAGGACCAGTCATAGGCAGCTTCTGTGCGCTTCATGGCTTCCTGGTAGTTCACATACAATTGCTTCCCATGCTGTGCATAAAACACATTAAATGAGGAAGTGATATAAACCCAACATATATACCATACATACACGGTTGAAGATTAAGCAATTTCCAACATGAGCTCTGGTTATAAATTCCTTTTTAAATACAGAAGAGCGTTTGTTATATAATTAATGTGGCATATTAGTTAGTTTCAGAAGAACATGTTTTGAGGTCACAGGGTTCATTAACTGAACAGAAAACATGACAGACTATAGGAAGCTATGGGATTACCTTAGCAATACGAATGCCATTAACCCACTGGTGTAGAGTTCTGACATCATCACAGCACAGGTATTTGATATACTGTGACTTCTTCTGTATCTGAGGGTGCTGTGGGCAAAATCAACAATATTACCAAGACATTGAAGACAACAATGGTTCAATAATTTTTTTGGGATTGCTAATACTAATGAACCACTAGAGGGCAGTAACAATGGTTTAGTCAATGTGCATAATGCAAAGCCATCTGTTACACAATCACACGTGAGTTGTCCATATAGTTAGCCACCTGTCACCCAACCTGTTTTTAAATTTAGCTGTCGTTTAAACACGCCCCCACATGTCTACGTCACGGTGTGGGAAGATTTGCATAACGCCGCCCAAATGTACAGTGAGAATAAAAATTACGCCTTCTTTCTTTGTCACGCAAAGCCGGCCTCCGCTCACTCTAGCCCGCCGCCGCTCACTCAGGCCCGCCGGCCTGCGCTCACTCTAGCCCTCACAACGCACTAGATAGCTGGCCAATCAGAGCACACCTCGCTTTTCAGACTGATGGCTTTGTAAAAATTGACGCGTTTCAGAAAGGCGGGGCATATAGGAAAAACAATAATGTACAGTATGTGAAAAATAATGAGTTTTTGAACCTTAAACTGCATAAACACATTTCATTACACCAAATACACAACATAATGTTGTTTTTACCAACATCATATGACCCCTTTAAAAAAAACACAGATGTAGCCTATTTATATTTGTGAAAATTTACAGGAATCAATACATTTCCAATGATATCCCAGAAATTCAACATTTTATCATTTTATTTGATTTTATTCTTGGATGCTATAATGTGTGAAATGTCTGAGTGGACAGATTCGCTTTATTAGCTACTAAGGTTCGAGAGATGATGTTGATATACACTATTATTCAAATGACTGGGGTCTGTAAGAATTTTTAAAAAAGTATTTGAAAGAAGTCTCGTAAGTTCACCAAGGCTGCATGTAATTGATCAACAATACAGTAAACTGTAATAATGTGAAATATTATTACAATTTAAAATAACTGTTTTGTATGTTATGTACCACAATCTGTCAAGCACATCTTACCAGCAAACATACACTCGTTCACATCTTTCTCTTCACTCTCTGAGGAAAAAGTCTCCAAACTCATCCTTTCTAATCATCCTACTAGTCCGCTTCTATTTTAGAGAACTACAGACCGGTTTCCCTTCTTCCTTTCATTGCCTAAACACTTGAACGAGCTGTGTTCAACCAAGTCTCTGCCTTTCTCACACAGAACAACCTCCTCGACAGCAACCAGTCTGGTTTCAGAAGTGGACATTCAACCAAGACTGCCTTGCTCCCAGTTGTTGAAGCCCTGTTGAAGCAAGAGCAGATTCCAAATCTTCAATACTTATCTCGCTGGATCTGTCTGCTGCTTTTGACATGGTTAACCTCCAGATCCTCCTGCCAACCCTATTGGCAAAGGGCATCTCAGGAACCGCACTCCAGTGGTTTGAGTCTTACCTCTCAGATAGGTCCTTCAAGGTATCTTGGAGAGGTGAGGTGTCCAAGTCGCAACATCTAACTACTGGGGTGCCTCAGGGCTCAGTTCTTGGACCATTTCTCTTCACTGTCTATATGGTCAACTCAACCTTACCAAGACAGAACTGCTTGTGGTTCCATCAAACACATAATTTCATCACAATTTCACCATCCAGTATAGGCACATCAACCATGACTTCTTCAAAAACAGCCAGAAATCTTGGAGTTATGCTTGATGATCAGTTGACTTTCTCCAGAATGGACTATTGCAATGCTCTCTTGGCAGGTCTTCCAGCCAGTTCTATCAAACATTTACAATTAATCTAGTATCAAACATTTACAATTAATCTAGAATGCAGCAGCAAGATACATTTTGAATTATCTCTTCCATCTTTATTTGACCCTCTAACTCTAGCACTCCCTATTCTAATTCTATTCTTAAAAAAACTAACACTAGCTTGATCTATTCTTTTTCTAATCTATCTGTTTTCTTTTTATTATATAATTTAAAAAACCTTGCTATGTGTACTGCGTTAAGCTATCTGAGACTTGTTATAGCACTTGCGTATCATTGCTCTTTTGTTGATTTTGATTGCTTCCTTTGTCCTCATTTGTAAGTCGCTTAGGATAAAAGCGTCTGCTAAATGACTAAATGTATGTGAATATATTTTAAAATGTAATTTATTCCTGTGAAGCAAAGGAATTATCCAAAAAGAATGCACGTCACACCTCTGTTTATCAATTTGCACTGGCTACCAATAGCTGCTCGCATAAAATTCAAAGCATTAATGTTTGCCTACAAAACCACCACTGGCTCTGCACCCCTTTAACTAAATTCATTACTTCAGACTTATTTGCTCTCTAGAAGCTTGCATTCTGCAAGTGAACGGCGCTTTATTGTGCCATCCCAAAGAGGCACAAAAATCACTTTCATTGACTTTTAAATTAAATGTTCCCTCCTGGTGGAATTACCTGGCCTACTCAATCCGAGCAGCTGAGTCCTTAGCCATCTTCAAGAATCGGCTAAAAACACATCTCTTCCATCTTTATTTGACCCTCTAACTCTAGCACTCCCTATTCTAATTCTATTCTTAAAAAAACTAACACTAGCTTGATCTATTCTTTTTCTAATCTATCTGTTTTCTTTTTATTATATAATTTAAAAAACCTTGCTATGTGTACTGCGTTAAGCTATCTGAGACTTGTTATAGCACTTGCGTATCATTGCTCTTTTGTTGATTTTGATTGCTTCCTTTGTCCTCATTTGTAAGTCGCTTAGGATAAAAGCGTCTGCTAAATGACTAAATGTATGTGAATATATTTTAAAATGTAATTTATTCCTGTGAAGCAAAGCTGAATTTTTCAGATGCCATTACTCCAGTCTTCACATAAGAAACATGTCTTATTGTTATCGATGGTGAAAGCTGTTTTTTTCCCCTTAACATTTCTACAGCAGTTGAATTTTTTCTGGATTCTTTGATGAATAGAAAGTTTAAAAGATTTAAAAGAGAATTTTTTTGAAATATAATTTGTCAAAAAAATAATTTGTAACATTACAGATGTCTTTACCGTCACAATTGATCAATTGAATGCATTCTTTTTTAATAAAAGTATTAACTGTTTTCCAAAAAAGTATAAAAAAGTATCCCAAATATTTGAAAGGTAGTATATAAACCATTTTTATAAAAGGTAACAGTCAACAGTGCACATCATTTACACTGGCTAAAGTACAAAAAGCCATAACATCACACACACCTTAAGGGCCAGGCAGTAGTCAGTGGGGGCCTTGTACTTGCTCCGGTAGTCCTGACCATAATAAACATTAACATGGTCCAACTGCAGGAAGCACACCAAATCCCTTGAAGCCTACAGTGATCAAATTAAACATATTAATATTGTATTCCTATTTATTACTGTCTGTCAAATTTGGATTGTTTTTTTCTTTATAGCTTACAGTGATTGAATTTGAGATGATAAAGTCAAACATTTAGAAAAATAATACTATATACTCATGGTACCAAGCAGAAGCAAATACCCAGGATCAACCACAAGAGGATATCAGTGAGTCTGTGCAAAAGCATATTACAGAGAGACAAGCCCATGTCCTTAAATGTCAGAGAATTGAATACTAACACAAAACAATTGTTCATATGTATGCTTGTGACTGACTTGAAATTGTATAAGAACATGAATATTGTATAAGAAAATAAGGCATGGGGTTCTCTCTGGGAATTAAAGCCCCATGATTTATTGTAAGTAGATGACAAACAGCATATGGTTTGTGTAGAGTATCCTCAGTGAATCCATAAACAGGAAATTCCACTCAAGTTTATTAAGTTCTGTGCCCATTTAATGGGAACATAACACCAAATCACATGATAAAACAAAAATAAACATAAACAATATCACTGACCTTGGCTTTGCCCTTCGGCACAAAATAGATGCCAGATGCCCTCAGCAGAAAGTAGCGCTTCTTCCAAGACTTTTTGCCATCCTCCTTCAACCACAACACTCCCTCAATTTCAGGAACAGACACTGAGCTTCCACAAAAACATTCCTTCAAAACATACAGATACAAAATACATCATTATATGGTCAAGCATTCTGAAATTTTATCTTGACAGATATAGACATCTGTAAACTCTGTCGGACGTCACAATCAACACTTTAAAATTAACATTGATGAAGGCTTTGGGTCACATTAACTAATTGTGTGTATGTATTTGGAACGAAATGTCCTTGTATGTTAAACAAGGAAAGCAAAAAAAAAATCAGTTTATGCACAGCAGGCAATAAGAGGTTAGGCTAGTTAGTCTAGGCCTTTATAAAAGGTGTTTGAGATTTTCTGAGTGGGATAGTTGGTTTAATTAAAAATGTACCATTGCAATATGATATCAATCTATAATTTGTATTATAACGTGTAATTTACCTCCAGCAATGCCTCCTTGTTTCTGTCTGCCATCTCAGAGGTCTCCTTCCTCCCAAGTAAATAGTTCTTAAAAACATACACAACATGCAACAAGTGAATCAGGGTGACAACATAAAACATAAAAAGAATCATAGCTCATTACCATTACTTGAAACCTATATTTAGATCAGAGTGTACATATGCAACTAGTGTCTAAAAGTTTAGGTTCTGTAAAATTTCAAAATATTTTTGAAAGAATGCTCACTAAGGTTGCATTTATTTGATCAAATATACAGTAAAAACAGTAATTGTGTGAAATATTACTGCAATACATTATTGAAAATGAAAAGCTGAATTTTCAGCAGCCACAACTTTAGTCTTCAGTGTCACATGATCCTTCAGAAATCATTCTAATATGCTATTTTTCTGCTTAAGCAAAAATGTCTTATTATTAAATTTGAAAAGTGTTGTGATGCATGCATATTTTGGGGAAAAAAACACCACCTTTTATTTTTAAGGACTTTTTGAAGAATAGAAAGTTCAAAAGAACAACATTTGAAACATTTTATTATTGTTATTTTTTTGTAAAATTATAGACATCTTTACTGTCACTTTAGATCAAATGCTGTAACTTTTTTAAACTTCCTGAATAAATAGGGTGACCATACGGGTCATTTTTACAGGACGCACCCTTGCCAGGATTTCTATATTGCCTAAAATATCCAGGTTTTGGCTGTTTGCACTGTGCAGATCGATCGATGTAGGACATTATTTCACGAGAGCTATAGAGAGCAGAACAGACGGCTCCTTATGCTTTCAAATCGCTCTCGCGGTACTTTGGTGTCATACAACGATCGGTGCGCAGCTTCAAGTCGAACGAATGAACGAACAAACACATGCGCATATTTGCATCGCTTTGACCGTTCTCACCTTCTCACGCGTGACACGCCACGATTGGTCGATTATGTACAACACCTGCATGTTATTGGTCAAACTACTTTGGATGTTTTAGGCAATATAAAAATCCTGGCCAGGACGTGTCCCGTATAAATGGCACATATGGCCACCCTATGAATAAAAGTATTTTTTACCAAAAAAAAAAAAAAAACATACTGATCCCAAACTTTTGAACAGTAGTGTACATTGGGGTTTTAAAAGTGTCAAAATGTTTCTAATTTGGCTACTTCTAATTAAGTAGTGACTTAATAATGTTTGTATCTATGTTTAAAACAGATTTTGAATCTGTTTAATCAGAATTTTTTTCTGTATATGTCACAAAAAAAGAGCTTCACCTGTGGATTTTTGAAAAGTGCATACTTTTCAATCCGTTCAATGAACATAAGTTTGTTTTGACTGTCTCTGGTCCAGTTGAGCAAGTTCTCCACCAGGTTCTCATGGTCTTCAAAAATTCTCTCTGAGGAAATGATTGAAAGAGTGAGCGAGAATGATAAGGTACAAAATCATAATCTTATTGTCCCTCAGGTTCACAGGGTATCTAAGCATGTGCATGTGTCCTCACCCATCTGTAGCTCAGGGATGGTCTCAACCAGGGCCCAGTCCGGACTGTAACCGCAGTGAGATTTATCCAGCAGACTGTCCAGCACCTGCCTGACCGTCTGCCTCTCATCCACCATCATGGTCTTTGAGCTCTCATCTGACATATGAACACGTATCACCAGCTGATGGAGAAGATTAATAGGAAAGGAAAGTTTGGTTCATTCCAGTACATTTAATATTGAATACAGCTATATTTACACATACATTTTCATGGAAAGTCACATTCTGTAGATAAATATACAGTACATTATACCTTGAAATGGATAAATCCTTGAAATGGATAAATCGAATGGGATAGAGAAAGAAAAGTAGCTAACAAGTGGCCTGTAAACATAGTCACCAATACTGTTTGAAAATCATCCCAGGATGCATCTCATGATGGTTGGTTTGGTCAAGCTGGTTGCCAAAATACCCAGAGTTTATTCCCAAGCTATCTGTAATCTAACCAAAGGTTGGCTACTTTGAATAAACTACAATAATCGAGTACAGTTACACATGGCAACCTGCCAAATGCAGTAAAAATCAACTGTAGCAGTAGATGCCAGGTTATGATTTATATAGCATGTTCTATCACTTTTTATTTAAATTCAACTCTGTTCTATCTCTAGGAGGAGCCTTTAACATTAGCAAAGCAGCACAACAGTGAAGAGACGTTTTCAGTCTGTTCTCACTGCCTAGGCATATGATAAATTCTACATTTCCAAGACTTTTGTGCACCACTATACAGTCACCAAAAGCACCCTTTATCATCTTTACTGTAAAATTGCCAGAAAATCAGCTGTTTGCAATGAGAAACACAAGCCGTCAACATATTGACGGGAAGAGCACGGGAATGTTATCATCATGAAATTACTTAGGCAATTCATAAATTGATCAGCTGTTTTGCAATGTGCTAATCATCAATATGTTTACCATCAAACATTTATTTTGAAATGAGCTAAATTTGGAATTTACAACAAAATAAATGTTGCTTTTTAAGAGCAATCACTGAGAATTTTCTAACAAACAGTTCAGTTTATGGCACTACTCTTTCGTTTCTTCAGAATTGAAATAAATATGCTGAAATCTAAGCTTGTTTGTTTCTTATATTTTTGTCATGGCTAATAGAACTTCTGGTAACACTTTAGTATAGGGACCAATTCTCACTATCAGCTGCTTATTAGCATGCCTATTATTAACATTTTGGCTGTTTATTGTGACTTTCTCATCACCACCTGCATTTGGTGGTTATCAGTGTATTACAAAGGTGCAAAACAGATTTCAGTACTTCAATAGGTTGGTATATTAACATTATATCAGTTAATGAAAATACGGTATTTAACTGTAAATTTAAGTTAAAACCGTAAAACCTAAAACGTTGCTACCGTATTTTTTACGGTAAAATTCTGGCAACTACTGCTGCCGGTTTTTTACCGTAAATTTTACGGAATTTTTTTTACAGTGTACCCAATACCTAAAACTTAACAACTACCTTACTAACTATTAATAAGCAGAAAATTAGGACTTTATTGAGGCAAAGTTGTAATTAATGGTTTGTAAATAGCGAGAATTGGAACTTAAAATAAAGTGTGACTGAAGTTCTGGCCAGTAACTTTGGGTCCACTGTATATTATTAAATTCAGTTTTTTTATTATTATTTAAAGTGCACTTGACGCAGTATCATTCCGTATCAGTCTCGCTGCACCATTGCTGCTCAATGCTGTCAGTTTTCTCGAAACACACAATGAATGGAAACAGTCATCTGTCTCAGCTACAGAGGCCCAATCACTGTACTGTGTCTAATTCATGCACTTGGTATTAGTATGTGCCTGGTGGCATCTATTGACAGTGACAGTGCTTTTCAGATGAATAGCGTAATAGTATAGATCGTCTCTCAAGAATTAACACAAACCTTAGACCAGTTTAAACAGCAATAACACAATGACATTTTTTTAACAAGTAATTTGAAGCAAAAGCCTCACCGACATTTTGTTTGTGCATCTTCCCTTCTAAGCAGACAGAGACTCACAGACACATGAGTGACCCACTTTCTACTGTGCATTCATTCTGAATTCTCCAGCTAGAGCGTGTGAAGGGCTACATCATGCAGTGAAAGAAGAGGTTTACTGACCCTTCAGATCAGAGATTCACAGGGGCTTTTACTCACCTTTTTAACCTGGGCTTCTTTAATTTTCTCTAGCGCCACACGGATTTTCTCAGCCTTCGCTTTGGCAGCCTGTTCCTCCTGTGAATGACACAATGACATGTTGACAAAGACACACACTCACATAGTATTCCACCAACAGTCTGCTAGTAGTGCCATCCATTACTGAGGTACGAAATCAGACAGGTGGATTTCTGTTTTACACTTACCTGCCCTCTCCAACATGCGGTCATCACATCCATTCTGACCTTTTAAAGCAATCCCTAAACCCTTGCAAAGTCTGATCAACCAGCAACACAAAAGGCAGTTACACGATCACTCCTGAACCATCGCTCATGTTAACGGTTCCTTAGAGAAATGACTGTTCATTCATTCAATACAAATTTTAAGAGATACACAGATTTGTACCAGCTCAATTGTTTCAGAAATCCATTAAATGAATGTTCTCATCACAAACGCCAGCTATGTCAAGGCCTGACAGGTACTTCCAGCTGAAGTTTCAGAGCTGCTGCAGAAATAACCTCCAATGAAAATCATTCAAATAATCCGAAAAATAAGTCTAAACTCAATTTGAAGGAGCGTAAAGTTGAAATGTGCATTGGCCGCGACACACAGATGAAAATGCTTCCCCTCAAGTATCTTTACACCCAGAGTACCTTACACGCAACTCTACTCCTCAACATTGGGAGGGATTGAGACCTCCCCCTCTCTTCACTGTCTCTCTCCCTCTCTGTGAAACAGCTGCATGTCTCTGGTAGCGTGCCCAATCACAGGGTTTAATCCCCCTCACCAGCAGACCAAGCCGCCATCAACTATAAAAGACCCTCTCGTACCTATTCTCCAATTGGAAAGTACATATACTTCTCAGCAGCCAATCAATGTGGTTCGTTTCTTTGACCTTCTTTCCACTAGCCAATAAAGCTGAGGCCAAAAGTAGATGATATTGTTCTCTGATCTTTTTTCCATGGTTGTGGGAAAACACCTCCCTCTTTGGGGGTACCGGGGAGATGAATGATATCTAACCATGGTATTTATTGTTTACACCCCCCAGGGTTTGTAAGGACAATGATTTTAAGTGACAGTGTTAACCCCTTAAGCCAACTATTATTATTATTATTATTATTATGTCATATTGTTCTAATGAGATGGCTAGATTATTGGTAGATTAAGAAATACAAAGTCAGAGACAGACAAATAAAGATCTTAATATACAAAGAATATGCAATGAAAAGCATAGAATAAAGAGGAAGGAAGGAAAAAAGTGTGGTATGTGTGATATGAAAGGACAGTTTCTCTCTCTTGACTCACCATGGCAGATGCATATTTATGATGCAGAGAGAAAGAGAATGGGAGAGTTCTGCAAACAGCCGAGGCAGAGCTTCGATAAAAAGCATTAAATTCCCTTTGAAGTCTTTTCCCCTTTCTCTGGTTTTCTCTCGGTCTGTGTTTGAGCAGAGAGTCTGTGTCTCAGCAGCCTGCAGTGAGCCCATCAATACATTGTTTGAGAGGTCTGATGAAATCATGAGGAAATCAGAGTGGGATTTCAAGAACATTCCGCCTCAGTTTGTGTAAATGGATAATGACTTTGTCTAATATCAGGACAAATAAATAAAACTTAGCTGACTCTGCTTTATTTAACAACAAAAAAAGACAGATTCCTAAACAATGAAACATGGGACTGAAAATCAAACTTAAACAGTAATAAAGAAAAATCTTTAGGATTCTGAAAAATTCATACAAAGAAACATTATGGCGTAAAATTTGCACTATTTCTAGGTCACTAGAAATTCTAGAAAAATTCTCAAATCATGTTGGAATATAACATAGGACACATTTTGCACAAACTTCAAGTACCAGTTCAAGTGGATGCTCTCATTAAAGTGAATGGGGATGCATTAAAAACATCTGAATTGAATTCAAAATAGCTATTTCTGTAAAAACGTCACATACATGTAAAACTTTAATTCAAAAGCTTACTATACTATAACAACAACCGGAGATAATGTTGTAATGCAGCACAATGAACTTGAGAAAATAATAAACCGTATCAATTTGGCTGTAGCAGCTTCAAGGTTTAACAAAAGCTCACACAACCTTGAAAAATCAAAGTGACGTCAGATTTAGAAGCTTATTATTTAACTCCACAAGACAAAAGCACCCTTACCCACAATGCCCTGCACCTGCAAAAAGCGCCTTTGCTGGCACGACAACATGGGAATTACAATCACATGCATAATAATAGCTGTTCTCAGGAATAAATTAAAATCAAGAAATTATTAAATATAGAGCCTTTTGTTTTAAGCTAATTAACGCTTATTGGAAAACAAACTCATGGCTATCTATGCTGCATGGCTAACAGCATTATTATAGGGATAATTCACTCAAAAATTAAAATTCCATCATTGTTTACTTCTCTTGTCGTTCCAAACCTGTATGATTTTCTTCTTTGTCTGTGAGAAAATTTTATGAGAATGTTTTTTTTTAACTATACAATGGAAATCATATACAAAACTGTGTGACTATCAACTTTTACCTAAAATATCTTCTTTGTGCTCTGCAGAAAAAAAGTCTTACAAATTTGGAAGAAAAAAGGTGATTAATTAATAAAAATTTTATTTTTGGTTAAACTATCCCTAAAATAATACTGTTTATCACATTGAAAGTCAAACTGCTTGTGACCAAATACATTTATTAGTTTTAGACCAAAGAGAGTCACTAGACCTGAGTACACACACACACACACACACACACACACACACACACACACACACACACACACACACACACACACACACACAACAAAAGAATAAGTCAAGTGGTTTCAGTTTTATATAGTTCTTACAATGAAATGGTCCTAAAATGAAATAAGTGATGAACAACCATTTCTTCAGGGAACCAGAAATAACTTTGATAATGCAGCTCACAAAACCCAGCACCTCTTTACAAACCTGTTTTATATACTACAAATCACTGTTGTATTTAGGATACACACAAAAAAAAAAGGACGAAAATGATGTTCTTTACATTTGTAATGAAAAACACATAAATTCCTAAACATACTACTTCATCTCTAAGTCAATATACTACAGATAAATAAAAAAAAAACACCTGTCTAACCTACAATCGGAGAATGCTAACTGACCATTATGAACTGGAAAACCTGACTTGATGATTTAAAAATTAATAAAAAATCCTTCAAGTTCATAATAAAATAAAAGACATAATACATAACCCTTGCTTTCTCTTCAGAGAGAGGTACTGTAGGTTGAAAATGGTTATAGACACATTAGGTTGGATGATCTGATTAAATCTGTATACACATGAAGATGGCAGCAAAGAGAAAATAGGAGATATAGCACTTTAAAAATGTAAGAAGGCAGTGTGGGTGGAGCAAAGTGTCAAGTCTGGCAAGAAGACTGAGGTTAAAAGGCTTTCTGCAGAATAAACCAAAAACATGCAGAGAAAAGAAAAGAAGCCAGCGAAAGAGGCGTCACCTTGGTCAGCAGGTGAGAGGGTTTTCCTGCAATGTTTTTCAGAATCAGAGAGGTCTCCCTGTCCAGATACGAGTGCTTTAGGGTGCAGGGAAAAGACAAAGAGAGATTAATCAGTGTAATGATTACAGTGATCCCAAAAATGATATAAATACATACTTGATTGTGGTAAAGCATAGAAAGTGTGGAATCAAAATCAGAAAGAGGTGGCATTATGTGAATGGAAAACAAATATATAAAAGAAGAACTGTTTCGTATACAAAATATTGCGATCACAGATCTCTTTCTGAGAATAAACCTCTCCTGATATACTAGTTTTCTATTGTGTCACTCAAATTATGACGTTATGAAACCTGGAATTATCACAGCTATAATAAGAACCAGTATTTTGAGAATGAACATACTGTGTACAGATATCCCCTGTCGCGCACAAACACACTTACATTACTTTGATCCTCCTCCCCCTCCTGTGAGGTGAAGTCAAGATGCCGTCTGGTAGCTTTACCATTGGCCCTTCGCAGTGAGACATGCTGGGAAAAGGGGTGTGGGAGGCAGTGACATCACATACAGAAAAGGTGCAAACATAAACACATTAATCATGCAGCAGACAATGCAAAACAAGGCATGCACAAGCAAGGGTCAATATATGCCACCACTCTTGTTGTAAAACATGTTCTGTTTTAACAGAATCTACTTTCCTTCTAATCGACAGTATGCCACAGATACTATCGATTAGCACAGAAAGTAATTTTGACTTGTCCCTCAGTTTACAGTATTATAAGTACAATGGGAGTCTATGGGGCATGTTGCATTTTTCCGGAAGTGATAGTTCATCCGTAAATGAAAATTCTGTCATTATTTTCTCACCCTTATGTCTTTCTAAAACCACATTATTTAAATTCATCTTCAAAACACAAATTATATTTTTAATATTCTCTAATCCTTTTCGTTTCATCCACTGAAAGTCCATGCAACCAAAATTTAGAATCTTTAAAATGTTTATAAAGACATTGTAAAGTAATCCATATGAATAGAGTGGTTTCAGGTCTTCTGAAGAGCCACGATTGCTTTATATGATGAACAGATTTAATTTAGTCTTTAATAGACATATAAATATTGATCAGTGCACATACACAGAGCACATCAAACATGGTAAACAGAAGCTCAATCGTACTTGCTTGATATATGAGAACAAACCTCACTAAATGATGAGAGAACATTAAAAATATCTTCATTCATGTTCTGAAGATGAACAAAAGTCTTATGGGTTTGGAAGAACATGGGGGCGAGTAAATGATGACAGTTTTCATTTTTGGATGAACTATCCCTTTAAAGGGCTTGTACTAGCTGTACAGCTCTCAGAGCGGTCATTTTAGTAGTGGGCCTATAGTTCTAGGTGGATGAACTTCTAGTTAGGCATTAACAGTGCAAATCCTATGGGTGTGAGTTTGCATCATGTAAACAATCCTTTGCAGGTAGATACGTCATGTCCCTTCTATCCTTGCACAAAAAGTTACTGGCTTTATATGAAGTTTGACTTTGCACAGAAAGTCTGTAAGCAATTTCATCATATTAGTTGTGTAAAATGTGCAAGACTAATGCAAGTGTTTGGCTATAATTTAGAAACAGTCTGTATTTAACATTTACTCTTGCCTTGCCAGACAGAATTCAATTTTCAGATATTTACTGTAAAAATGGTTTTTATTTGTTTTTACAAATTATTTTCAGATAGTGCCATAGAGTTTTCCTTTTATTGAACATGAAAAGGGTTTTCAAGCTTTACAGACCAATGGATCCATGCTCCAATATAAATAAAAAAGATCAGTATCATTTTAAAAAATACTTTCATTAAAACATCATATAAATGTTCCAACGATCTCTATGTGTTTTATACTGTATATCATCCCTGCAGTACCTTCATGGAGCCCCTGGGTCCACAGAGCAGTGGCTGAAAACCCTTGTTTCATATTAATATAGATGACATTATAGAAGCTATGTCATCTGTTGCTCCTATATAACTTTTTTTAGTGTAAGCATACAGTTAAAAGATGTTACCAAAACCAACACACCATGCATTCAAATAAGTTAGAGTTGCATAGCCATATAGCAAAGCAGGTGTTATTGTCACAATGTACTGTTTACACTGACCATAGACAGTACACTGTCTGTGTCTCTACATGTCACATAATAATGTCATGCAAGATTACGACAGCAAGATTTGTGCACACACTCTCCACCTCACACATGAAATCCTATCACGTTGTTCCATCTGTGAAACAGCGCTAGTTTACATCTGAAACCACAGTATGTATTTTTAGCAGAGAGAAGTGCTCGGGTCTGTACATCCTGGTGCGGATGAGCAACACCGTGGTTAGAAGAGTGGCGTAGTAGCATTTCTGTTTTATTGCACTTATTGCACTTCTGTTTTATTGTCTTCACAGGTTCTGACAACAGTACTGAAGAACTATAAAAGCTGAGTGTGTGTGCTTGAGAGAAACTGGTTGTAAATAAATGTGTGTGTGAGAAGTATGTGGGTAGCCAAGAGATGACTCAGCTTTAATGATTCAATGCTGAATTCAGTGAAACCTCGATCATCACATTTCCCAAAACCACAATACAGAATTTGCCCTTAACAAAAGAACAAACAACTGCTATGAATAGAACTGTGTTTGTGTCTGGGTCAGAGGGAATGTTAACTGTCCAAGTAAAGAGACCCTCTTTGTTCTAAATTGTTTAGTGAATAACAGGATAAACTTTTTAAAATGTCAGTGACTCTTTTGTTTTTTGGTAGTAATTAGACTGACTGTAAGACATTTATCCAAAATAGAATTATGACTAAGACTAATTAGGAAGTTACAGAGATGGGAAAAGAATGTTAAATTTAGAAACGTCTTCTCTTTAACACCCACATATACACACAAACACCCATATCAAGTAACTCAATTAAACACAATTAATTCAATTAAAGTCGACATGAAATCAAAAATGGACCCTATTTACTGCAATGCTCTCTTCATGGACTTATTTTGAACGAGTCATCTGACAAATCGCATATTACAAGGGAAAAAAATGTTACTCTTTGTAAACTTTAATCAAAATGTATTAACTTGTTTTTCGATGCATATTTTAAAATAATAATCAGCAGTTAAGTTACTACATGTACTGTTTTGTATATGCATATTTTTTAATAATAATAAAGCAGTTAAGTTACTACATGTACGGTTTTGTATATGCATATTTTTTAATATTAATAAGCAGTTAAGTTACTGGGGTTATTGGGGTGACCAACACCAATTAAACCACTTTTTATTAGGGGTGTAATGGTGCACATATTCCTACCCAAAGATTTTCGGCCTTTCGGTTCGGTACGCATGTGTAGCGAACAAATACAGCATTGTTTTAACCACCGCATGAGTGGAACTTCATTGGAAACTTTCAGTTTAGACTTTGTTTCTGATCAAAATGAACTGTATATTAATCTTTCAAATGATGTCCATTTTTTTCAATTTAAACAATAAACGGCCGTTTTGGTGCTCTTTGATGTGATCACTGTATAAACGCCTCAGTTTAAACGGCAGTGCGGAGCGTGAGTGCGCGTTATCATCCCTTCCTCTTTACTACTAGTTTTATTGTGAAATAAACATGAATGAACATCTCATGCCTCACGTAATCGCTTAATCAGTGTTTCAACCGCAGAAAGACGTCAATAAAACAGCTTGTAAACAAAAGCATTTCATTTACCTCAGGCAAGTCATCAGTGTCCACATCTCGTTCACTAGAGGAATGAAGTCTAGAGAAGAGCATTTTGCAAAATATTAGAAAATATACTAATTATAGTTTACCTTGCCTGTTAGTGATGTCTTAATTATTTAATTTATGTTTAAATAAATCTGTTATGAAACAAGTTGACAGCTACTGTGTAAATGCATATTTCAACAACAAATAGAAATGTTATAATTTAGAAATTAATTTAAAAACTGCATTATGTGCAATTTATATGTTTGCATTCAATTTTTTAAGTTGAGTGTTGACTATTTTTTTTTTTAAATAAATAGTAATTAAATTTAAATTTAGGCTCTGTTGTTAATTGTAACCTTATAGTAATGTAAAAGGGCTCACTATAGTTTAGAGCATAAGCTGAGGCAGATTTTTATCCCTAGGAACATTTTAATTATAATTTAATTTATTTAAAGAAAGAGCAATTTGTTCAGTAAACCACTGTTTAAAAAAAAAAAGCAATTTTATGTTTAGTTTTTTTCCTCCTGCTGTACCAAAAAGACCATACCGAACCGTGATGTCAAAACAGAGGTACATACCGAACCGTCATATTTGTGTACCATTACACCCCTACTTTTTATAGAAAACTACAGAGTACAGTCTTCTCATGTAAGTGAACCCCATTCAGATGACTCTTCAACAATATTTATTTCTTAATGGGTAAAATTCAATTAGAATAAATACAAATTAAATTAGAAAGTAAAGCTGGCCTGATTGAGACCATTATCCCTGTGCTGACTGACAATGCTGCTCTATCCTTTTCTTTTGTGGATATTTCTTCTCTGGTGTTGTGCTTCAGATTTGAGCCCCTCACATCTGCTTTCAGTTTTCTCTCTGCTATGTCCCACTCAGCTGAAAATTCTCTCAGAGTTTCTCACAGTGAAAAGAGAAGCATGGTCTCTCATGCCTTATAAACCTCTAGGCCTCTATGGACCAGTCATGTCATGGTTACCGTCCAGTTCTTCTTAAAGTCTGAAATCTAAGCGCCAGATATGACATAATTCAAAAGGGAAAAAATATTTAATATCAAGCTTGTGTGTGTGTGTATTTGTTACCTCTGTGCTAGTCTGGCTTTGGCTCTGATTCTGTGACTGCGCCTCATTCTCCTGCCCTCGAATGTCCAGTGAATCCATGCTGGATGCCGAGGCAGAGTTGACGCTTGACCTGGACGAATGACCGATGGAGCGCACTTCCTGGTCACTGACCGTCCCAACCGATCCTGTGCGGCGATGATGTGCGTTAGAAGGCGGGTGAGAGAGAGTTGCAGATGAATATGAGGAGGAAGATGATGAGGATGATTCAGAAGTCTGCCTCGCCGCCTCGTCCATGCTCAGGGATGCCTTTTCTAGCTGAGCAGTGATGTCATCCAGGGAGAAGTTGGAGGCCAGGGGCCGTGACTGACTGCTGCCACCGCGTACGGTGGAGGCCGGAGAAGCTCTGGTGCTGCTGCTGGTGCTTCCTCCGCTGCTGCCCCCTCCGGTGTGTTTGGTGCTGGCCGAGCGGCCTGTGGCTCTTTGTCTAGATTTGCCATCTGAGGGCTTGCTCATGGGTTTGCCGATAGTGCTGAGCTCTTGTTCTATTGAACACAGGTCGGCCATGAGGGCATCCAGGTCCACTGTCTCGCCTTGGTTAATGGCTTCTACATAGAGAGAGGACAATTTTAATTCATTTAATTCAAGTATGCTACCGTTCAAAAGTTTGTGTTAATTAACACTTTAATTCAGCAAAGATGCATTAAATTGATTAAAAGTGATCGTATTTGTTGTTAAAATTATTTCAAATAAATGCTGTTCTTCTAAACTTTTTTTCCGCAATGCGAATTAGAATGATTTCTGAAGGATCATGTGAGACTGAAGACTGGAGAAATGGCTGCTGAAAATTCAGCTTTGCATCTCAGGAATAACTAAAATGTTAAAATATATCACAATAGAAAACAGTTATTTTAAATTTGAATAATATTTCACGTTATTACTGTTTGTGTGGTGTTTTTGGTCAAATAAATGCAGCCTTGGTAAAAGAGCAAAAGAGACTTCTTTCAAAAACATAAAAAGACCTGAAACTTTTCAACTGCAGTGTTTGTGCATGCTAAACTATAATCACAAGCATTCTGCTCTTATGCTGGTGGTTTAATGATAATCCATGCCACAACACCACCATATCAGATGCATGTTGAAGGCGTTTTGAGTGGGATTTTGATTGATAATGAATGCTGAGTAATCAGAGGTGGTGTGTGTCTGGGTGTAGTCTAACCGTTGATGTTGTACATAGAGAAACGGTAGGAGAAATTGGCAAGGTTTGTTTCCTGTCTGAGAGGAGCTTTCTGCACTTTCTCAGGACGCCCATCATCCAAACTCTACATTACAGAGAGACAGGGGAAGGTGATCAGGTAAGACGAGACAGACAAATCATAAACATAATCATCAATACAACACATCAATACAATAAAAAAAATGAAGTATCTAAATTAGGTCTGTCAATTAATTAAAAAATAGTAATAGAATACTAAATTCTGGCCTAAAATAATTTTCATGTTGTGGCCTCTAACTGATAAACAGCTGATATTAAAATGTTATACTATTTTGACTACATCAATTAAATAACACATTTAAAAAGAATAATCATGATTTTAAATGCTACAAGGGAATTTAGGCATCACATTATAATGTACAGTATGAAAAAATATATATATTAATGACATTAGATCAGTGGTTCTCAAACTTTTTGATTCTTAAACCCCCCAAAAAACTTTTTGCCTCATTACTTCTCCAGTTGTTCATTATTATGATTTAAAAAAATATTTTTTACATACAATTTCTACTCAGTAAAATATTTTAAGCTGGGCATAAGTAGAACAATGCATATTAATAAAATACATTAAAATAAGATTTTATTAAAGTTTACCCAAAAATGAAAATGTTGTTCCATGTCGTTTCTTTCTTATGTTGAACATAAAATATATTTTGAAGAATGCTGGTAATCAAGTTGATGGTCCCCATTGACTTCTATAGTATTTCAGATCCGATGAGTCAAAGATTTAACAGCTTTGTAATTGATAGCACCTAAAAATGAAAATTCTGTCATCATTTACTAACCCTCATGTTATTCCAAACCTTCATGACTTACTTTCTTCTGTTGAACACAAAAGAAGTTATTTTGAGGAAGGTGGGTAATCAAAACAGTTTCTGGTCCTCATTGGCAGCCATAGTACTTTTTTCCCTACTATGGAAGTCAATGGGGACCAACAACTGTTTGGTTCTTCAAAATATCTTTTTATGTTCAACATAAAGAAACTTATACAGGTTTGGAACAAGGTGAGTAAATTATGACAAAAAGTTTAATTTTTGGGTAAACTATTCCTTTAATTTACATGACATTTGTAGGTCTAGAAATATTTTTAAATCCCTTTTAAAAGTCAATTTTAAAATTAGGATCTTATATATTCAGGTTTCTGAGGACAGTTGCCAGTAAAAATAAAATAAAATAAATACATAAAAATGATTATAAATAAAATGACCCTGGTCGCTGGTTGAGAACCACTGCTTTAGGTAATCTGATGTGAAAATAGGGAAAATGAGCATGTACAGTTAAATATACATACTGACCTATACTGATACTAAAAATTTAAAATATCACCTGATATGGTAAAATTTTATGCATCCCTAAAACAGAATCAATTACATTATTCAATATCAATATTTGCTGAGAAAAGTCCCCAAAAGTTTAGATAATACATCATATTCAAAATGTAATTCATCACAACAAAGAGTGTAAGAGTGTCACCTGTGTGAGTTTGTCCAGTTCTCCCAACCAGGCACCAAACATCTTGTCCAGATCCTGGTCCTCCTTATCGCTGTCTTCTTCAGCAGCATGGTCCAACTCATCATCTGATACCTGCTCCATATCTGCTGTAACACGCACACAAACACACCCACACCACCTCAGTACATGATACAGTCAACAACAGACAGCCGGATGTCTAAACACACAGAGAACATCACAGATATTACAGCCTGCTGACAAAGAACCAACATTTCAAGAATGACTTGTTGGCTTTGATACGTGTTTGCCAACACAATTAGTTGCTGATTGATTTGAAGGACGATGAACATCACAGGTTGTCATGATGATTGATTTCCACTTTTGTAACCCAGTAAATGATATTAATTTCTCTCTCCTTATACACCATCACATGGAAACCCTTGAATCTTTCTTTTAAATGAGGGTTGTGATATGACACCTTCCGATCTGCATTTGACACTGCAATCCCAAAGGACAACGTCTGTCAGTCTGGCATATTTGAGAAAAACAAAAACCTTTTTTTCTTCATTATCTTTATGCATTCTCTGTCAGACACCTCCAGTGTTCATCTCTGTGTAAAGTAAGTCATTATTTCAAGGTTGCCTTCTGAGAGGGTGTGATGTGGTTGTTATGGTAACCTCAGCTCTGTCTCAAAGACTGGCATAGTTGCTATAGCAACCTTCTCTAGATCTCCCACTATCAGTTTTCACCCCCATCATTACCATGGTAAACCCTGCTGTACCTTCCACTGTGTTTCTTGATTCAAAATATTGTTCATTACTGACTAATGTATCAACATTAATCAAAGCATTCCTAGTTTACTTATAAGTACACTTGTTACTCAAAATGCACTGCATCAAGCACACAAACAAACAAAACACAACTTTGAGATCAATATTAATGTTTCAATGCAATGTAATCATATTTTAGATGAGAAATTGGAAACGCTGTAATCACGCAAATGTTGGGTGTGTTAGTAATGACCTCATTAGAATGGAGATTTGAGGGTGTAAGGCGGTGGTCGCCCTCTAGTGGACAGTAATGTAGCTGCGCTCAGTCACAATTCGAGCAAAACACTCGAGTCAACACGCGTGTTAGCATGTATTAGGCTTTTCATGCTGAGTCAGGGTTGGGTGAATGAAAAAACCATGACCTTTGGTGAACAACAACCAGATGAGTCACACACTATGCATAGAGACATATTAATGACAGCCAGATTCACTTTCACTATCAGTTGGAAAAAAACTATGGTGGTCCAGTAGTGCACAGCACAACACAACAAAACAGAAACAAGCTGCAACACAACAAAATTAGCACAATACAACAGAAAGAAGCTGGAAACAAGCCAAAACACAACAAAATTAGCACAATACAACAGAAACAAGCCGAAACATAACAAAATTAGCACAGCACAATGGAAATATAAGCCAAAACACAACGGAAACAAGCTGCAACACAACAAAATTAGCACAGCACAACGGAAACCAGCCACAACAAGTAAAATTAGCGCAACACAATGAAATTAGTCCTATGCGCTGTGTTGTGGCGATTTCGTTGTGTTGTGCACTACTGGGCCACTGTAAAAACCAGTTGGGGCCCCTTGACTACACTTCACTATTACATGTACTATATATTATTATAGGCATAATATATTTATTATTACACAAAATGTGAAACTGAAACCTAAACTGATCATATCCTCAACTCTCTTATTAATTTTCCATTTTTTCTGCTACTTGGGCCCAGAAAAGCAGAGAAATTCTGAAATTCATTGAAATTCTGAGCTCACCTTAACCCTAAAGACCTGCTTCACTCGTTGATCCAACAAGGGTGTGTTTGTACTAATGTATGTAGCAGACTGGAAAGCAGACACAATGTTTTCTAACATTTACATTGAAAATATTTTGATCAGAATCACATATTCCTGGAAAACATGTACTAAAGTACAGCAATCAGGGGATTAGTATGACTTTTTAAATGTTTTTGAAAGAAGTCTCTTCTGCTCACTAAGGCTCATTTATTTGATCAAAACTATAGTAAAAACTGTAATATTGTGAAATAGTATTACAATAAAATTATAAAATGTACTTTATTACTGTGATGCAAAGCAAAGCTGCCATCACTCCACTCTTCAGTGTCACATGATTCTTCAGAAATCATTCTAATATGCCAATTTAAGATACATAAGCTTAAGATATTGCTTAAGATATATTCCTTATTATCAATGTCGAAAACAGTGTTGCTACATATTTCTGTGGAAACTGAGATTTCTTTCTAGATTCTTTGATGAATAGAAAGTTCAAAAGAACATTATGAATGTATTTACTGTCACTTTTGATCAATTTAATGCATCCTTGATGAAAGAAGTATTAATTTCTATTAAAAAATAATTTGAACTGTAATGCATTTCTAACAGCTAATTAAATAGTATGGGTAGTTACGGCGCTTAGACCTTGAGAAAAAAAGACCACGAGATTGGTTCTCCAGATGTACTTAAAATTTGCTTAACTGCATAAATATTGTACCAACCCCATGTACTATCACTGTGAGAGTCTCTTCAGAATCTGTGTTTGGGTTAGGAGAGTCCTGGTGCCTTTGTTTTCTTACAATACAGTCCTGCTGACATCCACTCTAATAGATCGCAGGTTGGCAGGAGACACCAAACTGAACGTTTTAACCATTACTATTATAAGATGGTTTCAGACCCCTCTGGGTGAGCTGCATCTTCCAGTGTTTGCATATGCAAGTCCAGTGACAAGATACAATCAGAAGCGGTTCAGTTCAACAAGGTGCTTAATTCAGTAGATCGAGTCTTGCAAATATATCATTCTAACCCTGTGCTCGGTCTCACCGCTTTCAGATCAGCAGGATGCTAATGACGCCTTCAGTCACTCTACTGCAAACGGCCATGGTTCTGCATAATCAGTCAAGCACAAAGAGGATAAATAAAAAGAGAGAGAGGGAATGAGAGGGGAGAGTATGGGACAAAAGGAGATTTTGCAAAATTATGGAACAGCAGAAAATGAAAAATAAAATAGGTGGAGATAGAGAACGAGAGCAGAGGGAAATTAGAGAGGTGTGTTATCTTGGCACCCTGTTGCTTAACAGCTGCTGGTTTAGACTAAGCTCTGCTAAACTCTCTCTCTCTCACACACACACACACACACACACACACACACACACACACACACACAAAATGGTGAAGTAAAAAATGTAGACAATAAATTCATCCTTCATATTTCATCTGCCACTACACATAATCTAAAAATCTGTGCTTCATTCTATGAAATGAATGCCTTTTTTATTTTGTGATATTTTCAAAGAGACTTCTATTAAATATAAGTATATCTGTATGTGCTAATTAACTGAACTGTGCCATTTAAAGCTTTATAATATATGAACAAACAAGTGTCTGTTGGGATGTTGTGAATGTGAGGGTGGAACACTGCAAAGCAAAATGGCTACTGCTCTACGTATCATCAAGGTTACGGCCTGCTGTCAGCAGTGAACAAAAAAAGCAGTAACCAAGCCTCACGGACACAGAAAAGGATTCTGTTTTACATGAAAATAAATGTTTTTATGCAACCAAGTTAGGATTTTATTTACACAAGGATGCATTAAATTGATCAAAAGTGACAGTACAGTGACATAATATCTATTTCAAATAAATTAAACTTGTTCTTTTAAACTTACTGGCTTTGCATCACAGGTATAAATTACATTTTAACATACATTCGCAAAGAAAAAAAATATTTGAAATGGTAATAATATTTTAATAATATTTATCAATAATAATATATTAATAAATGCAGCCTTGATGAAACTCGTTGGATGGTAGTGCATTTAATACACACACAAACCATCAAATAAAATAATACATGTTCTAAAGGAATATGGTCATAATTCATAATTATGAAAATATATTTCAAGCATTCAAATTAGTGGATTGTTGTGCTTATAGCATTTCATAAAGTCATGAAATAATATTTGTTCATAGGGTGACTCGTGTAAGAATGAGTGAAATAATAGAAAGAGAAAAAGAGAGGAACAGAGGGAAAGACAGGAAATGTCCAGGATGTACAGAATTCTTCATTTCCCCCGCGAGCTGTTCTGTCAAGGTTCTCCCACCCCCCTCCAGCAGCTGTTTTCT